GGGTAGTCGAGATGGCCGCCACTAACGTCGACAAGTGCTAAGTATGAGGGCCGAGGTGAACCTGCCCCAGGTCCGACCTGCCGGGAAGCTCGGTAGGGGTCGATGTGAACTACTATCAGCGGCGTGATTATCGGGCGTAACCGTCGGTCCCGAGATTACCGGGTGTAACCGTCGCGAGATTAGCGGGACTACCGCCCATAAGTAGAGGACTTCACTCCACGATCAGGTACGATGATTTCTGACCTCGAACTAAACTGGGAATCCGACCTATACTGACTTGATCGTCGGAGTGCTCACCTTTTTGTGTAGGTCCGCGCAAGTGTTCAGATCGGTCCGGAGGCCGAGTTCGAGCTGCAATCTGAAATACGTTGTTGTGCATATTCTTGCATAAACACATTATAAGTTTACAAGTAAGTACATATACTTTCAAAGAATATAGACTAGTGGTTGTCCAGGGGGATACGATGCATAATAATAAAATATCCTTCTCTACAACTAATATTTACAACTCTACTCTCTTGTTTTTACCTTCTTATGTAAAAAAGTATGCTAATATATTTAATTATATACAAAGATCAATTTGGAAGTTATTATTATTTTTTTTTTCAAACTGAAGTATAAGTTCTTAGTGGACAATGAAACATGATTCTTACCCATTATTGGATCGTGATATATAGCTCAATAGATAAAGATAGATAAAGCATTTATTACCGTACTAAAGGTTAATGTTCCAATACTCCACTCTAATGGTTGAACTAAAAGTTTTTTCACAGATTTGATTTTTTTTTATCTTCACTTGTAGACATAATAAAAATTTCGTATTAAAAGGACCAAATTAAGGCACAGACCAAAATGAATATGAATTTTCATTTTTACTTGAACTTCACGAGCCACGGGTAAGCTTATTTCTTTCTATGGTCTTTTTTAAAAAATTATTTTCCCCTTTTTTTTGTTTCCTATTCATTTTGTAAAAATGAAAAATGGTTCTCACTTTGGAATTTTTTTTCCTTTTGATCTTTGCTTAAGAAAATTCCTTTAAAAAAAAGAGAGAGAGAGAGAGAGAAATTTGGTTACCTTCTTTGTTGTAATAAATTAAGTTTCAATTTTTGAGAAAGGAAAAAATCTTATTTCATTTCCATAGAGTTTTTCCTCTCAAAAAATTCATTTCAGTAGAAATTCCCCCATCCCTGAAACTTAGGTTCATTTTTTTTATCATCCATCACTTTACTATCCATTTGATTCCATTTCTGCTGCAAAAGATATATAATTATAATATTCTAGRGGAGCGGTATGGTATTATAAATATTTTTAAAAAATGGCATCTAAATGTAAATAACCCATAATTTAACCTATATAGCAACAACCAATCAAAATTTTGCTTAAAGAGAGACGATTTCACAGACCACAAAAATTATAATTGAGCACAGTGATTTGAATTTAGAAATGCACAACCATCAAACTCTCCAACCTTTTGAATCTACTAAGTCAATTGGTCTAACCAACGTTTGCTTTCCATCAATTTGGAAGTTCTTTTCACAGAAAAACAAAAATGGAGTGTTGGTTTCCTTTTTTATCTCAATGTGGAATCAGCCTCTTGGTTTGTATTCAAACTTTCTTTCCTCTTGTGTTGTGGACTTGTCTTTTTTTGGTTGTCATTGTTTCTTTTGTAGAAGCCTTTGCAACTGTGCACTTGCCTTTTTTGGTTTTCCTTCCTTCTTTTATAAGAGCCTTTGGAAAGTCCCTTATTCTACTAAAATTCCCATTTTTTTCTTTGTTTTTTGGGTAAGATTCCATTGTGAAATGGTGAAAGCACTTGCCATTCCACTACTCATATGTGAACTTCAACCTTGTCTTGACTTTTGAGTGAGCCTTACCATCCAAAAAACTTTTCATGGGACCATCATACTTTGTATGGTAATAAACAAATTGGTTTCATATTATTATTATTTTAATCAATCATGGTTTCTACACTATTAGGTTAGACTTTAAACTTCTTAAATGTTTTGACTTCATCTTATTCGATAATGCTACAACAATTTGTTTTCATAATTTAGCTGGGAATGTCCTTTACATAGCCTTTTGTAATAGTCCCCAAGATTATTATTAGAGCTATTCTTAAAAGAAGAAAAAAAATCACACAGTGAAGTATGCTTGAAGTCATTACTTAACCAAAGGCAGGAGATAGATTGTCCCTCTTTTTGGCTAGTTGTGGTGAGGAGGGATTTGAGTCCTAAAACTATGGTCAAGTCACGTGCTCTGATGCTCTAAGCTAAAAGCATCACCTCATTTCCACAAAATCTATTCTAAGGGATATCCTAAAAAAGAACCTTTTCTTTTCAACCATTTGTCATCTCGAGTTGAGAAGCTTCGAAGATGTGAAGTAAGAGGGAGAAAAGGAAAGATATGCTTCCATTTCTTCTGGATTCTTTCATAAAAGGGTAAAGGACAAAATCCTTCTAAGAAATACAGTTTTTTGATCGGACTATTAATAAAACCACTGTTAAGGGATTAACAGCCTAGATAAAGAAAGAGCTCTTGGTCAAAAAACAAAGCCAAAGCAAGGGGTATTGCTCGTTAAGAGAGACCTCCCTTAGTTTGTTTGGAGATGTTTTAACCCTCACAACAACTAGGTATGAATTATTTATGATGCAAAAGGAGGCCACAAAAGACATCAAGTGTGATGTACATAACAATGAAGGAAACAAGAAAAAAAAAACTCAATAGTAGGCCATGCATTAACATTCAGCATCAAACCAAAATAGGAAGGAAAACCAAACAATAAAGTACATGGTAGAAAACCAAAAGCAATCAAAAGATTTCACCAACCAGTAAAATGCACACAAAAGAAGGATAAAAGGAGGAAAAAAAACACCATATTTTGAGTACAGCCGCTTCATAGCATGATATGATATATAACATTATCATCCCAGTCCCAGAAATCCAATCTAGTTTGGAGGGACCCATTGCAACTCAATTCCATAGTTCCAGGTTTCAAATGGATCTCCAGGCTTCAAATTGACCACAGCAGTATAAGCAGTGCAGCCTCCAATTCTGACTCTTATCATGTGGGAAGTCATGGCTGAATCTTTCAAGTAGGTGCAGCAAAGGGTGTTCTTGCACCCACTTGATTCCTCCATTTTTTCCTCAAACTGCCTACAGAGGCTGTTTGTAGAACAATTTAGGGGTGAATTTATAAGATTATCTGAGCAATTCAGCAGCATGACAGTATTCTGTGTAGAAATGTTGAAAGGCAAATGTTCATCCAGCCTTAAACCTCCTAAAGAGAGATCAGAAGAGTAACAACTCTTTCTCTTTATTTGGGGTGGCCTTATAATAAGCTTATAAGCATCGGGATCAATGGAATGGATATTATAGTAAAACCCACCACTTGACTTGAACTGAAGAATACCGTCATAGCAATAGATTCTGTACCTAGAGTCTCCACAGTTGTCATTTGTGCTAAGCGGATAAGGAACTTCAAGATTTCCACATTTGGGACAAGAATGACAAACTAATGCTTTAGATACATGAAAAAACAGAGCGAATATCAAAAGCATGGTCTTATTGATATTCTTCATTTAGAAAGCAGTGGAGAGATTCCAATAGAGAATTACAATGTGCTCAGAGCCAAATGTCTACTTATAGAAAACCCACGGGGATCTGATGCATAAATAATTGCGAGATTGGAACATAATGTGGATGTACGGAGACCAAAGGACTGTGCCATCCAATCTTAGTGGGTTCTCTTTTATGAATTATAATTGTCACTATAATTTATAAACCCACATTGTGGCAAGACAGATCTCAGTGCATGGAGAAAATATATACAAACTTAACCATTAAGAGAGAAATAAATCAAACTTATCACAAGATGCATGAAGTTTGTAGCTAATTCGCTAGTTTTTAAACTAATCAAGCTTATATGACCTTGAGAGAATTCTCCTTTCTCGACTCCCTTTCCTTTTTCTATTTTTTTGTCCTAACACCAAAGTATAGCGAGGGCAGAAAAGAGAGAACAAGTAATTTCCCAGCACGTTGTTGAATGGCATTATATCTATTGACATGCCTAGAATTTTATTTAAGGTACAGCTGAAAGATATCAATATCAGCTCAGATATGAAAGACCTGCAAATCATAATATGCATGACTATGATAAGAAACGAAGACTATCTGATAAAAATATCTCCAACTGAACAAGTCTTCCATTTTCACTTTTTGAATCTTTGCTTGATCTTTTATTCTTTGATATCAGGTGGAGCCAACAGGTGTCAAAATAACTTTCACCAAATCCCACTTTCTTTTTTAGACATCTTTATGGTACAAAATTGCCTTTTGAGTCGTTTCTCAAAGTGGATGGGCATGGACTGTAATTCTCCTCAGGTATTAAAGGTTCCAAACACAACATAATGCTTCCATTACCTTGCAGATCTAGATTCTTTTTTATTAAGAAAACAAACTTTTATGGTGGACGACCGAATGGCTGACAGCACTTCCAGTCCAATAAAGAAATAGCCAAATGATACCACCTGTCGAACGATAATGCGTTTGCGTACTAAGGTTATTATATTTCCTTGAACCTCAAATCTACTGGAGAACCGAATCAGGCTAACTTAAACAATCTGTAGAATCTCTAAACATATGTAACGAGAAACGACAGTTATCGCGGTAAAGGATCATATAACTACATAAGTCCCTCGACCTTGTAAATCTAAGTTAAAGCCACTCAGATCAAAATACTATGAATAAACCTCATGAAATTCAAAGAGGAATTTAGGAGACGTGAAATTACTATAGAAATTCAAGCCAGAGAGAAAATAGCTAATATGAACTCTTCGGATACTAAATATTCAAACATCCATGCTTAATAGCTGACACGAAAAGCATTAATTCATCGTTCAATCAAGTGTTGAAGTTTGGAACCAGCTAGAAGAGAAGATGATACACAACACAAAAAAGGAAGGAGAGAACCAGGCGAAATCCTTAAGGCTTGGTGAAAGCTCTGAACAATCGAACTCGTCTTCAACAAAAAGCTTGTTGCAAATCCGGTGAAAGCCAAAATCCGAGAGGCTGAGACGGCGGAGCCCGTCAACGTCCGCCGTACGCCGCCCGGTACATCTGCGCAAACATCAATCAACACTGCAAATGTGTGCCGACAGCAAGATTTTCGAGCCCAACCCATATTTGCTAATTGGACTGGGCTGGGCTGGGCTACTCAAAAGCTCTAAAATATGCTGAGGGCCCAACTGTTTTTAGCCCAAGTTTTGCAGACTTTTTCTTTCTTGGCCCAACTGTGATTAGCGCTTTAGAGACTATTTGGAAATAAGATAATCGAGAATTTAACCATATAAAATACTATAAACGTTAAAATATTTTGATCTTTTATTTGAGATTTACTCTACTTTAATCACTGTACTTAAATCTTTGTACTGATGTTTGATTTTGTCCTTGTATTTTCAATAAAACTTAAAAACTGTCCTCGATAATCAATGATAATTGACATAGAAGTCTAAATTAATTTAATTTGACTTGGAAAAAACAAAAATAACTCCACTAAAGAAAAAGACCATAATGTAAATATATTTCTCAACTTCGAGACTAAGCTAAATATATTTTAAAAACAAAAATAACCCCATTAAAGAAAATGCCATAATGTAAATATACTTCTCAAGTTCGAGACTAGGCTAAATATATTCTAAAAGAATCCAAACCAAGTAAACTTTATCCATATACTTTTTTGGGTGCATAGATAAAACATTTGTTAAACACAAAATTAAAAATTTAAGAACAAATTATAATTTAAGAAACTATTATACACAAAACTGAGAGTTTGATGACCTATTAATCCGGGACAATCTTGAAATTACATGAACTAAAATTACATGAACTAAAGTTGTAATTGAAGTATAGTTAGGCATAGAAGAAGAGGGCTGAGATCAGCTGTAGTGCAACATTTCCAGTGTTATCCCAACAAAGATTGTAATTGCACCAAATATAATACAGAAATCAGCATAAGCTCTTTTACTCGTGCAACAGAATTTACTCACAGATACATCATGAAGCAACTGAAGAATGGAAAACTAGTCATCTTACTTCAGAGGTGCCATTCCAAGAGAAGCCCGAATCCTGTTCCATTCTGCAATCTCTGGATCCTCCGCCACACCTGCCCCATTTTCTTTCTTCTCCTTCTCCTTCTCCTTCTTTTCTTTCTTCCTCTTCGGCTCGTCTATATCCTCCGCTCCATCCCTTCTTCTAGGACTAGCACTACTGCGGGCATGTCTCTTGCGGTGCTCCCCATCCTCCCGATCCTTACTCCTACTTCGGCTCCTTGAATGGCTCCTCCTCCTACCACGATCTCGATCTCTGTCTCTCCTATCCCGCTCCCTGCCTTCCCTTTCCCTCTCTCGATCTCTACCATATTCCTTCTCATCCCTTAGGCGATAGCGATCCCTATCCCTATCCCTATCTCTCTCTCTATCCCGGTCCCGGTCTCTATCTCTATCCCTATCCCTATCTCGATCTCTATCCCTCTCCCTATCCCTATCCCTATCCCTTTCTCGATCTCTATCTCTTTCACGTCCACGTCCACGATCTCTATCATAGTCTCTGTCATAATCTCGGTCTCTATCATAATCTCGGTCCCTAAGATTAAACAACAACAAAAACGTGGGGTCAGAAAATTAAAATTGTTCGCTCTCAATGGAACGTAGTAAGACAACTTATCAATGCAACAACTGAATAATGAATTCTATACAAGGTTATAGGTTTTCGGGATCAAAAGAGTATGAAGAAAATATCTTCTACCGAATGCACAAACAGGTAATTCCATCACTGGAAAAGATGAAATTATTGGAAGAACTAAAAACAAACTTGATCATCTTGTAAATACAATCGAATTAGCCTTTTCGTCATAAAGCTAAAAATAGATAGAAAAAAATTTTCAGGTCAGATCAACAACTCTTGCTATTTCATTGTCATTTCTCACTCATATAAATATCTAGTCTCAAAGAGCAAAAATTCTAATTAACAGTATCCTACAAGTGGCACATTTACAGTAGCAGTTACAAACAATTAACAAATATGAAAACCTGTAGTCACCAAAATAATCATTGAATGCAATACAATAATTAAATTGGAAAATGTAATCACTATGACTAATATATGTACGATCCATCATACTTCTCAGCTGCACACTGTCAGTACAGAGAAACCTGGCAGGATCGTAAGAATTTATTTTAGGAAGCAGCCATCAACCAATGGCTTGAAATGCCATGGTAGTGACAGAAAACATATGAATGTTCATTGACTAGTATGGAAAGGATTCCAAGAATAACAGGTTCCAACTGCTTCCAACTAAGTAGATAAATAAAACTCAGTTTCTCCATAGAAGAATACATCAAAATAAGTCTACAAAGAGCCAGATCAAGCAAAGATCCATTTTAATACAATGGCATAAAGATATCATTTCAGGAACGTAAAAGATCTCTATTGTTCTCCAGGAGTTTCTCTTTTGGCAGTCAAAAACAAAAATCAACTTAGCACTCGCTGGACCTAACAAGCTAGTCAAAAAGGAAAACATCTAGGAACCCAATAAATTCAATTCCAAGATAGGCAATAGCATGGATAGCCAAGCCCCAACTTCCATTCTCCCATTCATCTTCTAAATTTTTTTAATCTAATTTTCAACTGTCGGCTTACACCAACTGTACTAAGAGACCACAAAAGGAAAAGTTCAAAATTATTTATTTCGATCTTGGACATTATTATTTGTGTTCAATGAAAAGTTTAACTACGAATGAAGACAGCTAATAGACTCGAGATTTCAATTGATGTCTCTCTACAAGAACAAATATTCACAAATTCACCAATAGGATCATAGTTGCATCCATAAAATCGAGAGGGGGAGGGAGGGAGAAGAAAACAAAAAGGCAGAGAAGAGGGGATTGGACCTGTGTCTGTGACTATCACGCCTTCTATCTCTATCTCTCTCCCGCCCAGGACTTCTCCCTCGGTAATGATTCTGCAGATGCACAATCTCAAAACGGTTAACAAGGAGAAGAAAATACATACTGGATACTCACTGACAAACACAAATAGAAAATGCATTTAAAACCTTCTCGTGAATCTCATCTTCTAAGTCGTTAAGTGCCTCAGCATCCTCTTTCTCTTCCTCCTCCTCAAAGTCATCTTCTAGAGCACTTTTCCTTGCAGGCAGTAAACCAGTAGATTCAAGGGTCCATCTGTCATCACAAAGTACAAAGTGTATCTTATGTAACTTCAGAATCAGTACAGCACTCAAAATTCAGGGGTTGAAACAGAGAAAAGAACGAGAATCCATTAGAAGCAGAGAAAACTAAGCCATTGAAGAAGGTTGGAAGTCTATCCATTCAAAATTGAACACTATTGACACATAAAGAGAGTGAAATAAACAGAACAGTAGATATATAGAGCTTGTGGCCCATGTACTTCTGTTTGTCAAACGATGAATAATACATATTTCTCCAAAAGCCCAGATTTCAATAAAACATTATCAACTTCCGCTTGAAAAATAAATTGACTGGAAAATAGCCACTTAAGTTATCAATACCATACCTCTTTTTGACACGTGGCATAGCAATGTCGCATGAATAATCTTTAGTAAGAAGTTCATCAATGACTTCATCCACATGTGTTAAAGAAAAACCTGGTAAAAATAAGATCAAGTTCATAGCTAGTAATACATTAATGCAACAAGAAAGTAAAATCAACTAATTTTCACAAATAATTTAATATATAAAAATTCAAGGAGAGGCCCTGAATCTTACATCCATCGGCTAATTTTCTCCTCAATTTCCGATAGTCATTGTACAAAGGCTCCAGGTAACGATACACATCAACATCAGTCCCAGTGAGACGCAAGTAAAAGGCACCAAGAACCCGAACATATCTAAGACCAATGCAAAAAGGTAACTTCAGAAGAATGCTTGAAAGAGTCTAGAAAGCCAACCTACCATTATCAGGAGAGAGAGAGAGAGAGAGAGAGAGAGAGAGAGAGAGAGAGTTTTCACAAAACTAAATAGATATGAACTGACAGATGAGATTTAGATCCAAGCAGACAACTCATTTTCAAGACCATACATTATAAAACCAGTAATTGGAAATCAAGGCGATAAATAACAACCTTTAAGAACCATAGTACACCATAAGATACAGAACCCCTTTCCGTATTTGTTTTAGCTCAACGATAAGACCTAACCGTCCATTTCTCATGCTGATCATTCACTATCCCTAACTTCCGATTCATTTATCAACTGCAAAAACTTTTTGACCAACGATTACTTTTCATTCGCAAGGTTCGCAGTAAGTTCCCTTAATCATGGTTTCTTTCCCTCAATCCCTAAAACAAACAATTGAAACATCAAAACCACAAATATTTCACCCTCCAATGAACCCTACTCCTCAACTTTTCTAGGGAGCCAAATGCAAAGTTCTGCTTAATGGGAGCTTAAATGACAATAAAAAAATTACTTGTAATCCTCGTTCTTGATGAACTCGATAACGATTTCCTTCTCCGGCTGAATCTGAAGCATCTTCATGACGAGACACATGAAAGGCGTGGGCTTGCGGTTGCCACCAAATGTACCGCCGAGGTGGTCGAGCTCCATGGCCTTGTCCACTAATGTCTCCGCAGTCAAACCAAAACATTGCTCCTTCCAGTAAGTGTTCTGGTAGATCTTCGAGCGAAGAATCTTCTCCACCAGATTCTGCGGGTTCGTTCCCCTTATGCTCTTCGCAGCTGGGTCTGTTCGATTAGCCATAACCACCGGCTATAGAACAGCGAAATGCGTATGGTTCCAGATAAATCGACAGAGGAGAATGATCAAAACCCTAATTGTCAGATGAATAGAAACCAGAGACCGAGAGAGGGAGAAAATCGGCCAATTGGGAAATTCTATGTATACAAAGATTTTTTTTTTTTTAAATATTGTTGTAAATGAAATTTATTTTAAAAATATAGTTGTTTAATTAAAAATATTATAGATTTTGAAACTTATTTTAAAATTATTGTAATTTTAAAAAATTTAAGATTTTCAAGAGACGACCATTTACACGTGGCACGTAAATTTTTTTAAAAAATTTGTTATATTATATAGTAGTTATGAAAAAAATATTAGAAGAGTAGTACATCCACTACACCACTAAGAATTTTTTTACATTAAAACTATTAAATAATATATAATATAAAAAATTATATATTTTTTTTTCTAAAAATGAATCGACCGGAGACGATCATCCCACATGGTCGTTACGTTCAAATTTTTAAAAAAATTTATGTGGCGCCAAGCGCCACGTCTAAATGGTTATCTCTTGAAGGGACGACTACCCTTTTGTTTTTTAAAACTACAATATTTTTAAAAAAAATTTCAAAACCTACAATATTTTTAGTTAAACAACTATATTTTTAAAATAAGTTTCATTTACAACATGCCCTAAATTTATCCCCCATTGTTTTTCTATTTTTCTTTTTTCTTTTTTCTTTTTTCTTTTTTTATTACAATGCAAATATGAAATATTCAACCTTCGATAGGCCCTAACAAGGAACAAAATGTCGATTATGCTTGTATGGGCTATCGTTTATTATATTTTTTTTCTTTTCAGGTTTTATATAAATAATATTATATATTTTCAAAATGTGGATTATGCTTGTATGGGCTATCGTTTATTATATTTTTTTTTCTTTTCAGGTTTTATATAAATAATATTATATATTTTAATCATGCGTTTTTTATATTCCTGGCAAAAATAAGTTCAATTAATTTACAAATATATTGACGTAAAATATATATATACCAACTATCGAAATGTCGATGTCGATGAAAATGTCGAGATCCCGATTTTACGGACATGTCGATGTCGATGGATATTTCGGGAAAAAACAAGGAAATTGTGAATATTGATGCAAATTTTTTGAATTAGTAAATAAAACTTTAATTGTAGTTTAATTAGCTCGTAATTGTTCAATTTTGACCATCATATCTAAATATATAAATAATATACTTAAGAAAATGTCGTTATAATGATAACATCATAATAAAATTATATATACTTACATGTAAATTATTTGAATTAGTATACTTACATGTAAATTATTTGACTTAGTAAATTAAAGTTATTGTTGATTGATTATATTTTATCGATAATTTCTAATCAAATCTAATATTTAGTTACATAATTAAACCAGATATGTGAAATATGTATAAAATTTCAAACATAAAATTTATTATATACAAATAACGGTGATATAATTTAACTAATATCAAAGATGATATTTTCTTTTAATATTTTTTTATAAGAGATAAAGAGATAGAAAGAAACTTTGGTAAAAAGGGAAAAAAAACAAGTCGATTTCAAATTATTTAGGAAAAAAAGTCAATTCTTACGTTATCTCACCAAAACAAACTATACATATATTTTCAAATTATTTAACCGAAATATCTATCGATACCATTGGTGAGCATATTTTTTCAAATTATTAAAAAAATCAATTTATAGATTATAAGTAAAAAAAATGACATTTCCTCGAACACATTGAATACAAAAGAACACATGAATGTATGTAGTGAAAATAAAAAACCAAAAACAAAATAGTAATCAAACGAACCGTTAGTTATTCGGGGTTAAGTTTGCTCAGAAGGGAGGTGCTAAGTTTCCAAATTCTACTGTATTTCCATGATCCAAAAGTTGTTTAAACTAAACGATTCATATTTCAAATTCTTTGGTTCCCCCATTAGATAACAATAAAAACACGGGATTGAGCATTTCGCGAGAAATTTTCGGAAACAAATCTTGGATTTTTTTATTTTTTATTTTGTTTAGGAATACAAAACAGGACTAACAAAGAAACTTAAAATAACTTCTGCACAAGAAGAACTATTTTGTCTATTTACGAAAATATTATTTTAAAAATTTGAGAAATCGGGCTCCGCGGCCCAAACACAGCTTTCCAACTGGGCCCAGTCTGAACAGCCCAAATCCGATGATCCAATCAGGCCCAGTTAACTGGGGCCCGAAACATGTCAACAAAGTTCATGCCGACGGGGTTAAGTCTTCACGCGTGCCATCGGTTTACGATCTCTCCAAAATTCAACAACGTAACTCGGCCACTATCAGATCGCCGGGCACGTGACTTTCTTCCGGCCGCCGCATTCTCCTCCCCTCTGCCCGATCTCCGATCACCTTACCTGAAATTCCCGTTCGTTCGAGCTTTTCTTCTTCCCGGCAATGAGATTTTCTACTTGAACAAATTTTAACAGATCCTTGGACTTCGAGTTTGAAGAGTTTCGGAATTCTTTGCAACGAGAATTCGAGCTCTTCCCCCCTCCCTCCATGGCGTCAAGGAATCGGACTTTGCTTTTTAGGAAATACAGGGACGCGTTGAGAAGTGTGAGGGCTCCTACCAGCTCTTCGCCAGTTTCGGCATCGCCATCGACTAGTTCTGGCGCTGGTGGTCCGGTGATTGAATTGGTGAGCTCGTCGTTGCTGCATCCGAATCGGACTTATGCCCCCTTAAGTACTGAGGATCCGGGTAATTCAAGGTCTATCTCTGTCTATATACATATGTGCATGACTGTGTGCTGGTATATGTGAATTTGATCCAAATCTCTTTTTTTGGTCTAAATCTTGAGAATTTAATGTTGGAAAGTGAAATGTGGTTTGTGATGGTTTTGCTGAAGGCATCGCTTAAGATCTCGTCTAAATTGAGATTTAGTGCCAGTTAGCAGTTGCCACTTTCATGGAAGAAGGGGATGAGAAAATTGAATTCCTAGGTGATTAACGTTTGGAGTAGAGAAATGCAGCATTGGGTTGGTTCAACGTATATAAGGTAAAGAAGTGTGAAATAGCCATTACAGAAGCAGAGGACGCATTTTGCACAATTATGGTGGAATAACCGAGGGAACTACGGATACCATTGAGTATAGTCATAAAAACTTGAAGAATGTCTGGTTTCTCCTTTGGTTATATTACAAATTTCATCTCTAGCTGTGTCTGTTTTATGCTTGAAATCTTTGAAGTTGGAATTATGTCTTAGAGATTATGACTGGAATTATGTGTTGTGTCTATGCACAAATGTTGATTGGTTTAGCATGAGACGATTGACAAATAACCAAAAGGAAGTGAACATGTGGTCAAAAATAGAAGGATACAGTCTATAAAAGAAAACAATTAATTGTCTGATAAGCATGTTGGGACATCATTTAGTCAACGGCACATGCTGAATAGATTATGAGTTCAAAATTCAAGGCGGCAATTTAAATCTTGTGAAGTTTGTATATTTAAATAGACAAATACATCTAAGTTCAAAGTTCAATGACTAAACTTGTAATTATTATTTTTCTTTTTCTCAAATCCCGCCCATATCGTTATGTTCTTGGCTTATGAGTTATCTCTGTGTATTAATGCAGTAAGGGTGCTCATACCGTGGGTCTGCCTCCGGCTTGGGTCGATGTATCCGAAGAAATAGCTGCAAATGTGCAACGTGCACGAGCAAAGATGACAGAGTTAGCTAAAGCTCATGCGAAGGCTTTGATGCCTTCGTTTGGAGATGGTAAAGAAGATCAAAGGTTAATTGAGGCTCTCACGCAAGAAATAACACATTTAATTAAGAAATCGGAGAAGGGACTACAGAGACTCTCTGCGGCTGGTCCTTCTGAGGATTCCAATATCAGAAAAAACGTTCAGGTATAACTTTAAGATGAAAATGGTTAATGTGTTGAATATATGTTGGCTGATTAAGTCACTTCTCTTACACAGAGTTGCTCTCTCTGTTTTCCTTGTTCTATCATGCAGAAATTCGTATAAAATCTCTTAAAATTTAAATTCTATTTAAAAATTTATGGGTTTGGCGAACTTGCAGAAGGGCAAGAACACAATGGCTTTGTTTCTTCTCATTAGTTCCTCTGTTCTTTCTCATTTGCCTTGATGGTTTGTCAACCGTCAGTTTTGCAGGCGACCCTTATGATCCTCATACCAATGCCTTTTAGGCCTTCCATTCTACTTGATGAGAAACTTCTAGGCATGAACACCCTCTTCACTTTTGCATAGCTTGCATTCTCTTTGTTTGCCAATTCGATAACAAACCTGGATCTTTATTTAGGTACAATTCCATTATTCTTGGTTGAGGCAATTCTTACTTATTTATCAGTATTCGATATGGCATTCTCGATCCCTCCTTCTACTAATCTTTTTGGCTGGAATCATGGATGAGTTTTCTCGAATTTAATAGCCTTACTGTAATAATCTACTGCAAGCCCTTTGTTCTAGCTAATCTTTAGGGCTCAACGTGCTTGGGCAGGTAGGGAAGGTGAAATTGTTGACTTCATTTATAAACCAACATGTTTTGACGTCTATTTCCTCTGAGTACTATATTCACCATCTCATTTCCTCCCCAACTTGCATTCTAAAATTGTTAATTTAGTGCAAAAGCAAATTTGATTTCTTTTCTCCCATTGCAAGTCAACATTTACAGTAAATCTCTCCAAGTATTGGGGTCCAGTCCTAAACTTCATATTGTAATATGCTTCTATGATGCAGCGAGCTCTTGCCACCGACCTTCAGAACCTTTCCATGGAGCTACGCAAGAAACAGTCAACTTATCTAAAGCGCCTACAGCAGCAAAAAGAGGTGTAGAAATAATATTTCATTTGGTATTGAGTAGAGGTCTAGATCATGTCCTCATGCATATCTTCATTTGACAACAGAGAGAAACTGCCGTAGTTACAGAATTCTTCATGTTCATATTTGACGCTCAACTTCAAATATATAAATCCCGGTCTGATTTTTTTGTGAATTAGGAAGGTCAAGATAGGATTGATATAGAGATGAATCTAAACGGAAATCGATCAAGACTGGAGGACGATGATTTGGAAAACATGGTACTCTAGACATTCTCCATCTTTTTATTCTCACAAGTTTGAAACGACAACATTCACTATGATTTTTATTGTCTAATGCCTAAGTCGTGCATAGGTATTTAATGAGCATCAGATGGCTAAGCTTCGAAAGAGTGAAGCATTTACTGCTGAAAGAGAGAGAGAAATCCATCAAGTGAGTAGTAAAGCACTCCCTACAATCCCCATTTCTGTATATATCATTATTCAATCAATTCACTTCAATCCAGGTTGTCGAATCTGTGAATGAGCTCGCTCAGATCATGAAGGATCTATCAGTACTTGTCATAGACCAGGTTAGAGATTCCCATCCCCATCCTGAAAGTTCATTACATATCCGTACATACTAATTGATCATATATATAAATACATACACACTTCTTCAACAGGGCACAATTATTGATAGAATAGATTACAATATTCAAAATGTAGCGACAACTGTGGAGGAGGGCCTTAAGCAACTGCAGAAGGTCAGTCCTAGTTCACTAATCCCTTCTAATTTTAAAAAATTCTCAAAAGATACCCCATCTTGTAGGGAAATCTCTCTGATTCATCTGTAATTACGTCGTCGTGCAGGCAGAGAGAACACAGAAACAGGGGGGGATGGTAATGTGCGCGTCCGTGCTCATTATCATGTGCTTTGTCATGTTGGTTCTCTTGATCCTAAAAACCATACTGTTTTGATCTTCAAGCATACAATTCCAGTGCACAGTTACCAATATTGCTCCTCAGAGGCACTTTACACTCAGAGATAGTGGCGTTTCCAGGCTCATCAGAAGGAATTCTTGAGCAGATTCACTCATTCCATGGGTAATTTTTGGTTTTTCCGGCGAGGAAATGGCTTCTTCCTCTTGAATTTCAGTGTCTGGAATGAAATATTTTGTATAGAGATTTTGATCGAGAGCATAGGAAACTTGTCATCGTACCTATACCGATAATTCTTTCGATTTTTCACTAGAGTTTTTATAAAAGAAGATTGGATCTTGGCTGTCCAACTTACTTCGAGATCACTTTGTTTTCTTATTTGTATGTTTGTACTTCTGTCTCCGTGCAATAAAATTAACATAAAGCCTTCCCATCCGGTTTGTACCAATTTTGCTTGGTTTAGATGTGAAATTTGAAGCCATTTGATATTTCTTTCACTTCATAGATTATACATTCTTCAGGCGATCTTTAAATTTGGATTGGAAATAATGGCAGATAACAACCTTAAAGTTGCAAAAAACATTGGAAAAGTCAACCATCATGAAAAAACATTGAAAAAGTTGTACATTACGTTGGGAAAGAATCACATGTAGTACTAATTCATTTCAATCCCTATACTTCCCAACTTTAATTCATTCGAAATTTTCATTTGATCGTCATACTTTTAGAAAATTGCAAAATTTTAACACAAATTCATTAAAAGTGTGTGTGTATATATATATTGAGTGTAGTATAAACGATAAAATGATAAAACCAAAACGAAAACTTAAAAATATTTTGAGAACATAGAAACTAAAATGGAGAAAAATTGCAAACATAAGAACTAAAATAAACATATTCAAAATATACAAACCAAAAGCTAAAAACCATAAACAATTAATATGGTTGAGGGTCAATCAAAATATAGTTTTCAGGAGGGTAATTTAGATGTTTCTTCACTTCATCAGATATTTTGACTCTTCCAATAACAATAGGCTCATCATTTCGCTCCTATATCTATTTTGTCCACTTTCTCCATCTCTATCAAAAAAAAAAAAAACAAAAAAACAAAAAAACAAAAAACAGAAAGCTCCAAGGATGTAGGCAGGGGTGTAGGAACAACTAGAGTCAACTACCCTTGAAAGAGTGTAATAGCTCGCTGATTGAGCAATCTTGCATTGAAGATGAGCAATCTGACAAACCTACAATCTTGCATTGAAGATGAACGAAGCTAATCAATCTGCCAAAGCTACGAGATGTAAAGATACATCGAGAGCGCTCCGTGTAGACCAAAATAGAATTTTAACAATTGAAATATCATTAATTCAAGTCATGTAGCAGAAGGAGCAAAAAAAAGATAGTACCAAAACTTTCTTCCCTATGTTGTTTGAACATAACAACATAAAGATGCCAGGTAGCCAAAATGGTATCCGGTATATAAATCTAAAAAATCACTCTTGGCTGGAAAACTATGAACAAAAAATGATAAGAGTGTAATAGTGTGAAAAAACAATGCTTAGACTCCATGTTTATGACAAGTTGATAACTAAGAAAAACAATAACAAATCACAGTTCGCCAAACGAAATCACTCCGATTTCTCAGATCTGTGGAAACTATATTACCAATTGATATAATATATATTCCACCGTCTCATCACCAGTCAATCCCCAACTCATGTAAAAAAACGTCCGAGCCAGTCCAGCAACACTAAATAACAACTGAGACTGGGATAAGCATAGCCAAACAACAACATACACGCCTGACCCGACCCGACTCGTTGACTGGAGATGTCATCAAAATAACCAGCTGGGCAACCTGCAATTAGTAAGATCAAAATGATTTTTTCTCGAAAATTGCTGGAACTCGAACTTCCAATCTGACTCTAATCTAACTTATCAAGGACACAGTAGTACAACCTATAGAAAATATGTGTTCAAGTCATGTATCGATCTGACTCTAATCCAGTAGGTAAAAAACGGAAGAAAAGAAAGAGGTACCTTCTTAGCCAAAGTTGAATCCCCCAGATGGTACGGCAGGCCGATCACCAAAATTGAATCCAGCTTGGGAGGCGGTACCCGGTGGCATAGTCTCATCTTCATCTTCCAACCAGTAAGTCTCGAGGATCTTCACTGCCTTCTCATAAATTTCAGTATTGTCATGACTCTGGAGGTTCTCGATTTTCTCTAGCCCCTCAGCATCATCTATCATTTGGGCATAGGGATTTACATCTACTGTATTGTTCAGGTTCTTTTCAGCTTCTCCTACCTTCAAGATATTCTCAAGTCCTTCCAGACAAACTGTGACGATCCTAGGATCTGGGCAAATTAGAAGATCGCACAGAGGTTTGATACACCCTTGACTTACTAGGTACCTGTTAGCAGGAAAAACAATCCATGAAAATGATGCCTAGGACATGCACTAGATAATTGGGAACCAGGAGACGAAAATGCCATACTTAATCTGTTCATGAGAACCTCCAGATGTGGCATTTGAAATTGCCCATGCAGCCTCTTTCTTAATATCGAATTCAGCATTTTGAAGCAGGTGAACAAGGGGAGCAACTATATTGGCCTCTATCACAGACTAGAAAGATAGAAAGAAAGATGATCATATAGCTGAAATTAATCCATTACATGTCAAAACACATACTAGTGAGCATGTTGAGGTGCTTGATTATGTGACTTTACCTGAATCTGTGCCTTGTTCCCAGCTGTTATATTGGATATAGTCCAGCAGGCCTCTTTCTTGATGCTCTTCTTATGATTATTAGTCAATAAATTTAGCAGACAAGGTAGGGCATTGTGATGGATGATAACCTACGGAGAAAGAATCATTATCAGTGAGATTCAAAGAGATCCACTAATCATTGACACCTTATAGTTTTTTTTTAATCAGAAACCTATAAATGAAAAAAGAACATATAAGGGCATACAAAAAATCAGCCCTACAACAAAAAGAAAAGGGCTCCAATCCATGACTCCTAAAAAAAAAACCATATAGAAGTATTAAATTTAAGTAATGAGCTTCCAAACATACTCCCTAACTCTCTCCACCTCCTAAAGATTTTGTTATTCCTATCAGTCCAAATCCCACCTGACAGTTGGAGGGGACCAGTCTAAAAAAAGTAAGGCTCCAGATGCCGTGTACATCGGTGTGGATAACAGAGAACTTAGTAGAAGCTTTCTCATCTTTAATTTTAGTACAGGATGAACACCCATGAGCTCTACCTTAATATTGTAATTCAAATACTTCCAGATATACTGTCAACTTCAGTTTCTGTTATTTTCAGGCACCAGAAGAAACCAAATGAAAGAGAAACAGAGCACAAGTCTTCCAAGGATAATGTTAAGAATACTATTAATTTAAGATGTTACAAGTATTACTACAACAGGCTGAATGGTTCCTTAGCTGTCATCATATGTACTATTATTTACATCAAAAAATGCATGGTAATTATTGCTAATAATCTACCAACACCCAATAAATTGATGACTAAAATCACTAGTCTTCCAAGGATAATGTTAAGAATACTATTAATTAAGATGTTACAAGTATTACTACGACAGGCTGAATGGTTCCTTAGCTGTCATCATATGTACTATTATTTACATCAAAAAATGCATGGTAATTATTGCTAATAATCTACCAACACCCAATAAATTGATGACTAAAATCACTAGTCTTCCAAGGATAATGTTAAGAATACTATTAATTAAGATGTTACAAGTATTACTACGACAGGCTGAATTGGAGCAACAAGTAATGAAACAAGGATGGTAGGTCTTCTATCAGAGAAGAAAGCATGTGTAGAAGCAACCAGTCAGCCAGGTTCAGTAATTTGGTGGGTTTCACAGACGGAGTGGCTGGTGAAGTGCTTTTTCTTGCTCCATACAAAATCAAGCTTGGATGACCCAAACAAGGTTTAAAATAATACAAAGGTCAAAGACTATTATTGAGATAATCAAAAGAGATTATTCAACAACTATCGCAGCATCCATTAATTTTCTAACATTCTGTTAATTTAGCTTGTCATAAATAGTGGGTGAGAAGGGTAAAGGCAATTATTTTAGGACTATTTTAGGCCTTGTTTGATAAGGATTTCATTTTTAGTTTTTTCTTTCAAACAATTGTGCTTATTTTCTCACCATTTATTTACCATGTTTTCCATCTTTCTTCATAATGAATTCTTAAACAAATTTTAAGAATAAAAACAAGTTTTTGAAAAAGTTGATTTAAACATTTTCATTTACAAAATTTAGATAAGATTTTGAAAACATTTTCAAAAAAGTTGATAACAGGACAAAGGAATACATAGGTGGCTTTGGAAAAGGTTTCAAAAATTTGACAACGAAACAAAGGAACACATGGATGGAAGTAGTGAAAACAGAAAATAAAAAACAAAATGGTAATTAAACGGGGCCATAGTTATTTAGGGCTAAGTTTGCTTATAAGGGGGGTGCTAAGTTCCTAAATTATTAGAGGCATATCTATTGTATTTCCATGATCTAAAAGTTCTTTAAACAATTCCTATTTCAATTCTTTGGTTCCCCTATTAGATAACAGTTAGCTAAAATTAGGAAGTCAGGGAAATAACAGAAAGAACTATCCAAAACGAAGAAACAATAGTTTTATAATCTCCGGTACACTTTTCCAACTTCCAAGTCCAAAGTCATCTATGAATAAAAATATGATTTCACTACATAACGATATTATTTCTAAATTCCAATACAATGAATGAAATTGTCTTTACATCCAACAATGGGAATGACATGACAATACAGTTTCTGCTCAACTTTCTGAAAAGGCTAGAGCATCTAAAAGCAACTTCACAAACAGTTTCCAAAAAATGTGTGTAAAGTTATTTCAAAACCTAGTTCAAAGGGTAGACACATAAAGGTAGTCAACTAATCATACAAGTTCAAAGAGATGGAAATAATCTTCATGGCAATAAAAAAGAAATTTACTACCACACTAGTCGACTAAGGTCAGGTGTCCAGGAGGCAGCTACTAATTAATGCAACAACAAGAACCGAAAATCTCATACCTGAGTTTGCAAATCATCGCCTGTAACAATGTTTCCAACAGTTCGAAGGGCTGGAATGAGCACTGAAGGAGCAGGATGCCTAGAAGATAATAAACCATCTATTTTAGATGTATAAAAGAAGAAAAATATAACACCGCTCAATGATCGTACTCACATTAAGAGCTCAACGAGCCGAGGGCAAACACCTGCTTCAATAACAGCTTGAATTTTGTCGTTTGTACCATCAGAAAGGTATGATAGTGCCCAGCAAGCATCAGTCAATACTTCCTCATCGTTTGAATGTATCAGACGTGCAAGAGCAGGAAGTGCTGGCTTGACCTGTCAGAAAAATGAGCCAACTGACTTAGGAAATAAAACCCCACAAGTTGTTAACATCAAATATGTATGTTCCTACTTTCCATGAACAGTCAATGGCTATCCACCGACTCTTGAAAACCTTCCTACATGCATAAAAAAGCAAAAGGGTGGAGGGTGGCGGTGGGGTAGTACTCGAATAATCCAAAACCCAACAATTACAGTATCTATTTGAAACCCAAAATATCTGGAAAATTGCCCACCAGATCAAAAGCGGGCTGTGGCTTGCCCCTGCAAAAATTTGATAGTGTCCATGTAGCATTTCTCAGCATAGAGAGCTTAGCTTGCTCATTCAACTGTGCTAGTAAAGGCAGTAATGCTCCATGACCAAGAACCAAATCACGACATCTTGAAGAATCCCCAGCAACATTTCCTAATGCCCAAACAGCCTGCAGACAATATGAGAAGATAATTGAACATTTTATAATGCTTGTCGATCCAACTACACTCACAAATCAACTAAATTAACAACATTTCTGGAATAGAAAATCTGGATTTATTTTCGATCCATTTCATAAGAATTAAATAATCCTATTATATAGAAGTGGAGGAAACAAACTTATCTAAAATATAGGGTGAGGAATTAACACTTTCAGGAAAAGGAAAAGGTGCCGCTAGACATCCTTGTGTAAAGAAACTCAAAAAGTTCACCTGCTCCCGAACATCATCACTTGGTGAAGCAAGAAGTTTCACAAATATTGGCACAGCACCATGATCGATGACAACCTTAGTGTTTTCTGATGTTCCCGAAGCAATATTCGTAAGAGCCCAAGCAGCTTCAAACTACATAATTTTGATGCAACAAGGACGTTATCACTTCATCACATCTTACAATGCTATAATCATAGATAATATAACCTGTATCACACCTGAAGCTGTGGAAAATCCTCTCTCATGAGAAATTCGACAAAACGAGGAACAACTCCTGACTGTATAACTTCTTCAATTGGGGGACTACGCTCTGAAGAACAAATATTTTAAGGTTACTAACAAAAAAATAAAAATTTAAAGTTTAAAAAACAAACAATATTAGAACACTACCGACCAATTGAAAGCAGTTTCCTAAACTGAGTAGTTGCTTCTAGTTGCTGATTACCATCATCAGACCAAACACCCGCAACCATGGATGGTAGATGTTCTAACTGCAGTGAAACATTTCACACTAACAAACATGATTTCCAATCATAAAGTACTCACTCAAAGTTCAAATGAAGAAACTTATTTTAGTACCATTACATAACTCAGACTGATTCTGTTAACTCTATCCACCGAGGTATAAGGGAAAACGGATAAATATTTGCAGGAGTGATAATGCTCATTTACACGGCTTGACCAAAGTAGAATCTTGAGTAACAAATACAAAAACTTGCACATGGTTCGGATCACAATAATTCACTTAAAAAATACGTTCACCAACTGAAGCTAAATTGGTTTCAGAAACTCCAAGTACAGAGAGAGAGACTCAAGTTTCGGAATCAGAGTGCGCAGTTGAAATACATCGAATAACAAAAAGATAAGTCAATCAATTTCCATTCTCTGGATAATCCAATTAACTAGAATGCCTAAAATTCTCTCGAAGTTCAATAAGCAGCAGTTATAATGGACGCAACATATTTCCACTTCCCCAACAGTCGAAACGGAAATTCTCCCAGCCTGATCTTCAAAGTCCAAAGAATGAAGCATAAATTCCAACTCCCTAATAGCAAAATTCCAAAAAATAAACTGAATAAAACACGATCGCCCAGCTAGCAAACCCTAAACAGCCACTAAAATCAAACTCCACCACCAAACCACGACATCACAACTCTCCCCCCAAAGCACATAAAATCCAGAAACGAAAAAAAAAACAATCACGAAGCAAAGTCATTCGAGATTGACCTTCTTTTCCAGTACCGAGGAGTGAGTGGAAGTCTGCAGTTGCTGGGCTTGAAGACCCTCGCGCCTCTTCTTCTGCAAGCTCTCCTCTCTCCGATTCTTCCGAATCTCGACCATATTGTCCTCCCTTCTTCTCCGACCTTCATCTGCATCCACCGCAACCTTGTACCGGTTCCGCCGAACCTCAGCCCTCTCGTTCGGCCTCAACGACATCGTGCGAACACCAAAGAGCCGAACTGAAACGCCGATAAGTAGAGCAAATCGGCGATGCCGCGGTGACGATTAAGGGGTTTTGTTCGCCGGTGAAGGAGAGAGAGTAGAGAGAGAGAGAGAGAGAGAGGAAGAACTTGGTACGAAGTTTTTTTTAGTTTTGAGTTTCTTTCACTGTGGAAGAGAGAGAGAGAACCGATAGTGAACGTTGGGAACCCTACCCATCAATTTATATGGACGTGCCGAAGAGCGGGCTGTGTTCTGTAAATCGACTTAGATTGGGAGATTATTACGGAATTGACACTTTAATTATTCTTATTAGATTTAGTATTTTATATTATGGATTTTTTTTCCGGTAATGATTTTATCTATGCTAGTTAGAGACGTTCTATCAAAAGAAGAAAAAAAAAAACTAGTTAGCACGACGATGCATGTGAAATTTTGTAAAGAACATTATTACGAATTATATTATGGAGCGACTGATAGAATTACAGTTTGGACAAATTGTAATAATAGTTGATCATTGTGATGAAGGTAAAATCATTATTGACAGTAACAATTAAGTTCAATGTAAAAATGTTGATAATGTCAAATAAAATGGTAAGAAGGAAAGAAATAAAAGAAAAATCATGAAATTTTTTATATTTAAAATAACATAATATAATTTAATAATTATTGATAATTAATTATGAGGGACGTATTTTTTAAATTAAAAAATTTATAGATAATTAAAATTGTGCAAAAGTATTTTCCAAAATATTATAGATGTTTTTAATCTATTTTCGATTGTTAAAAATTTATAATTGTTTTTTAAAATAAATCGACAAAATATTTTACATTCAAACTTTCACATTTTTATCATTTAATTTTGTTTTATCAACTCATTCACCTAATTATTTATTTTAATATTTATTTTTTAAACATAATTATTTAACAATTAAAACATTATAATTTTTGAAATTTTATTATTAATTATATAATTAAAGATAAGTCATTAATTTTTAATAATAAATCGACAACAATTTTATTCAAAATTTTCCAATTATTTTCTTTTTTTTCAATAGTTCATTTTAATTTAAATAAATGTATTGAGAAGATGATAAAAATTAGGAAGGTGGCGTGAGGAGATAGGAGAAAGAGAATGAGTGGAACTCGAAGGATTTAGAAAGAGAAAAGTGAATTGAAATTTGAGAGCGGGGGATGAAAGGACAAAATTGTAATTAAAATAATAAATAAAACATTAAAATTAAATGACAAAATTCGGAGATAAAGTTTCTCCTAGTAACCATTATTTTTATATATTGTATAGATATATATATGAGCATTTAAACATTGTAGGTCCTATCTCTGATCAAAAGKTCATGAGTTCGAACCTCACCTCTACTAGAAAAAAAATCTTGCAGGTCTTATTTAACGTTTTATGAGTGTGTTTGGGAGTTATCTTAGTTCAATGCTTTATTTAAAACAACATAAAATACAAACTGAAAAAACAAATCTAACAACTTGTAAAAAAAAAAAAAAAAACGAAATTGTGTTGAATAAATCGTTGCTTTGCAGCTCTGGTTGGCAGGTCGGAGACCGATAACTCGATGCTTAATTAGGTTGTAGAGAACGTCATGAAATAAACAGATGTTTGGAAGCCAGAAATCCAATAATTCAAGGTGCCATTTGAGTCATAATTTCAATTTGAATCTAAATATATTTAATATTCATCTCATTTTCTTTTAAAGATAGATTTAAATCTTAAAAGTTTAATTAGTTAAATTGATTTGTTCAAACAAACAATATTTTATTTTAGCATTTTGTTAGAGTTCTTTTTTTAATGGTTAGATTTTTGTTATTTTGTTTTAATGTAAAGTCTTTTTCCCCTAAATAAAAAAATATTTTTTTAAACAAATAAATGATAAAAAAAGTACACATATCAAAATGGTCGTTTCAAAAGTATTTGATTGAAGTAAATTAAAGTTAGTGGAATTAAAATTGACATTTTGATGGTACATTGAAAAAAATATTATTTAAACATAAAAATAAAAAACTCAACAATGTGGAATATATTTGTATTTGAATGTATGACATTGCAAATAATTCTAAATTGAACGTAGATTATTATTTAGATAAACACTTTTTTAGCATAGTATGAATTAAATTAAAAAAAAAACCGTCATCTCTGTTAATACTCTATTGGCAGGAATATATTGCTTATAAAATAACTAATTTATTATAATTTAGAATCCAAAACTACCAAACCAAATCAATTGGCCAGAACAATGAGTCATAATCCACTTAGGAGCAGAGATAACGTGGACTGTTTTAGAAATTTATTTACACATATGTCTAACTTTTTCTAATTTTATATTTTTAAATTTCTGCGGGCAGGATTTTATTTTAATTTTGATTATACCTTTATTTATTGCATCTACACTTATTATATTATTTGTTTTTTTAAATATAAAAGATTTAATTTCATAAATTATTATCATAATCCTTTAATTATTATCGATCTCATACCAATTTTCAACACAGATCCCTTAATTCACCCGGAACAATAATTTACTCATTCAAAAAGATTGATTTTTCCTTAATTCACTCCCACATTGATGCTCAATCTTTAAAGACAATTCAAAATTATATAAACATCTTTTGAAGTCTCAATAAACATATATCCGCATATCCACATACGACGGACCCCGTCCGCGCAGTCTGCCGGCCCGCGTTGTAAGATATATCCACTAATATATCATATATACATTAAAGGATACAAACACTTATATATCCCAATAGACGATAAAAACATATATAAACTATATCAGGTTATTGAATTCTTATAACTGAGGCAGAATCATCTACAAACTTGGTATTTATTCGTAGATATAAACTATATATCCGACTATAAACAATAAGTGTTGATTTTATGATAAAGAATCGATCAACCGAAATCAAGCTCACATAAACTTATGAACTATAAACTATATACTGTTATGGAGTGTGTCATGGGGAGATAAAAGAAGAATAGACCAAGCAACGGGGCCCGAAGGAAACCCGAGAGAAAGCCCGAACCAGGAAAGAGGGCTCGGCACCCGACGACTTGGGTCGGCCCTGGCCGAACAGTGCCTCCACGGCCCCCCAGTCGAGAACCGTAGCGGTTATCCCAACCGTTTCGCAGTCCCACTCGAAGTATCCCGACTTGATTCTCGATTTGACCTAAAGTCCACAACGACCGAACGAGCCCAAATATTAAGATGTATAAGGATTCGACTGGGGTAAACCCTAAAGGGATGAGAACTCGACTTCTATAAATGGAATGGTGAGGCAAAGCCTAGAGGTATGCAAAAAGACCCTACTCTCTACACTTTAACTTGATTATCCATCTACCGTCCTTAGTCACACCGGTTTAGGTTTGATTGGTTTTGTAGGTTCTCCGATCCCCGATTATCAAGTTTGGTGTGCATCTTGGAAGGATCCGGGAGAGTATAATTCACGCATCAATAAACTTGAAGGGGAAAGAGAATTTGGGCTTTGTTGATTTTGATGATTTTATTGAAAAAGACTGAAGTCGTGGCATTTATCAAGATTGGGTCTCTCTACCAGGAAAAACCTGTAGCTTAGGGGGTATTCACGTTTGGCATATGCCCGCTCTTCTCTCTTTTGTTTCCGCTTTCCAATTTATATCATAACATAAAGGAAGGGTTCTCTGAACAAGTGTCTATATACTACGGCGTAAGGGAAGCTGTAGGAGTAGCACTAGGAATAGTAGTCAATTAGACTAAATTAGCCGAAAGCCTAGAATATAGATACCTAAAGGCAATTCCAATCTTTCGTAATGAATGTTATTATTCTTATTCCTCTTCGATGCACAGCACAGAATATAGTATTTGTTAGAATCCGCTGCGAGTGCTCTATATCATGAAATCTTTTTTACCTATTTTTTTTCTTGGTCTCTTTTTTCACGCCTCTTTTTTGGCAATAATATGATAAACATATATAGTTATATAATATATACTTTTTATTGGTACATATACTATTAAGTTATATAATATATTCCAATTTATAGTATGATCAACACATTCTATGTATAAATTTAATATTAGGTTATATAATATATACTTTGAAGTATATGTGACATATATTCAAAATTTAATCCATATTAACGTTATACCTTAACATATACCCAACATAAGTATTCAACGTATACCTAAATTTGGAGGTTTTCGTACTAAAAATTAGGTTATATAATATAAATAATATAAAATTTGGAGGTTTTATATAATATATAACCTTTGTGGCAAGATTTTTTTTCCCGAAAAAAGAACGAGAAAAGAAAATTAAAAAAATAGTTGAAACCTAGACTTTTTCCTTTCCCTCCCTTTTTCTCCTCTAATCCGCTGTCCACCCCTACATCCCTCCATCCCGTGCATTTTCAGACGGTGGCGCACTAGTAGACCATGAACCCACCTCCAAATATTGTCGTCAGCCGTGTGCGTACCCGATCGTCGCTACTCATGAGCTTCTGTCGTTGGGTCGCTATCGCTTGAGTGCTTCTACTATGGAGTCGTTGCGCTTGGGTGCTTCTACCATGAAGTTCCCACCGCTCAGGGTGCTACGTATGCGTGAAGATCGAAGAACATCTCTTTTCCACAAGACTGGCAATGCGAATAAACGGAGGGATTTGAGAATTTCAACTGAATTGTAAATGTAGGCATGATTTTAGGGATTTAAGGATTTCAATTCAATGGTTAAATTTATGAATGATTTTAGGAATTTGTATCAAAATCGTCCAATATTTAGTTTTTTTTTCCTTTCCATTTTTTGATTTTGTGTTTATATTTTTATTAATTCTATATTGTGGAAGAGAAATTTGTAATTTTATAACGGGGTCCATCTATAAAGAGACAATCTTTAGATAATTGTGTAAGTTCTTAATAGTTAAGTCATTTTTGTAATTTCAAACTCAAAATAGATTAGTTACGTACTTATCCCATAGGAGTATGCCTGCCAATATAAATATCACTCCATGGTTAAAATATCTCATTCATTCTAGGTCGAAAGTTAAATTCTTAATCTCCACAAATATGATTTGTCAGTGCTAAAAAAAATAATAGGAAATACCTATACCTCCTCATCACACATCATGAATTCAAATTCTCAATCATTCTCGATGTATATTAAAAAAATAAAAAATAAACATATCTTGATCCCAACTTTTCAATTTTATTTTATTTTGGTTCATGAATTTGTAAATGTATATTAATCTATTAATTTTATTGAAAAAGAATAAAAAGTTAACTATTTTAATTCATAAATTTTAAACCCTAAAATATGAAAAAAATAATAATAATTTTAGCCATTGTTGTTATTTTAGATTCAACATGTACAGGTTTACAAATACATTATTAACTTTAAAACTTAAAGTTGAGAGTTAATTTTAAAATCTGCTGCGAAACGCATATTCAATCAAGAAAACATAGAAATACAATTATGTTTTTTTTCCTTATTAAATTATTTATTTTCAAATTGACCAAACGATCCTTTTTCTTTTCTTTTCTTTTCTTTTCTTTTCTTTTTTTATGTAAAATGTGACGCCGTATTGGAAGAAAATGAGGGAGAATTGAAAGCCGATGAGGGAAGCTACGAGATGATCTTATAATTATTATTTATAAAGGAAAAAGAGTAGCCAAAGATTCCCCAGCAAGGAAAATCCGTAAAACCCCTCCAACTTGAACTAAATTACGCAAACTAACAGGTCACCTTCAATGCCCAAAATGGGATAAATAGCCCAGCAAATTCCCCACCGCCCAATCACATCTTTCCACGTCAACCAGGGATATTTTCGTCATTGTCACAAATTACAACGGAACGGAAGAAATCTTACGCTGACGGGACGTTTTGATTTAGCAGCGCGAGGCGTTGCGCTTGGCCGCGCTACATCTGGAACCGTTCGGACGTGGCCTCTTCGTGGTCGTTGGATTGTCGGTCGCGCTTAGCCCTCCCATGCCATCTGAACCGACCATTTCCATAAACATCCTCTGTAGGTCCTCGAAGCTGTCACCCTAGAAAAACCAACTTGAAATATTAGATCACAGGTATCGTCCGTTGATATTAATTACTCGGAAATTTCAACGTCAGGATTTACCTCCGGTTTGACGCTGTTCATCATTGTGATCATCTCTTGCATGAAGTCGCAAAATTCCTGCACCGCAAGCGGACAAGAGAGAGCATTCTTTTTTCTCAAGAAAGAAAGACAATAAATTGTTTAATATGAATTATTAATTTAAAAAAATATTTGATTCGTAATACATTGGATTTAACTCATAAAAAAATATGCTTCATAAAATTTGATTCATAATTACTTGTTTGACCGAGTATCTTATTTTAATAATTATAATTTTTTTTGGTTTTTTACTTTTCAGATGATTTTTATGTTATATTTACTTTTTATTGCCCAATTTTAAAAAATAAAAATTGATAAGATAAATGAACAATAAACTTGATTTTGGTTTCAAACTTTTGCCTTTAAAAACGTTTGTTCCATAATAATTCTATTTTTTCAAACATATTTTTTAAATCTATACTTAATTTTAAAGTGTAAAACAATTCCACGGAAAATTTATTTGGAAATGATAAAAGAAGGAAGTTGTCAACACGCCATTGGATGACAGCTTTTGAAAGCAAAGGCAAATTATGAACAAGGACGACGGCGAAAAGTAAATAAATAAAATCCAATGCCTTTTTCAAATTACAGACCACGATAAAAACGACACCGTCTTTTCGTGGATGTGATTATTGCATGCCAAAAATATCTAAACCCGGAGCCAAATGAGAAGAGAGAAGAAAAAAAAGGGAATAATAATAATTCATAATAATTAAAAATAATATATATACGAACCTCATCGTCTTCTTCCGTGGGATCGTAAAGACCGGCGTCGTACACGGACCTCTTGGCCTGATCGGAAAGAACTGTGAGAGAGGCAGACGGAGCAATCTAACGCCCGTTAGTGCCCTTTCCTATAACCAGTGACGGGGAATTCAACGGCGTTACACAATTGAGAGGGATTGGGCGGAGGAACCGATGATCTCACCTGAATACGCTTCTTGTACTAACTGAAATTGCCGCTTGGCTTCTCCGGCCACCGCCGGATCCCGCGTCCACCGGTCCGGATGCCATTTCTTGATCGCGAGACAGAAACGAGAAGAACAGTTCAGATTTCACAAATTCGCTCTCCAATCGAACAAAACGGAAAGAGGAAAAAATAAAGAGAGAGAAAGAAACTCCTCCAAATTTCATTCCAAAACAGAGCCACGCAAATCTCAGACAGAATAACTAGAAAATCGAATTTCACATTGAGAATGCAAAAAAAAAAGAGACGCCGAATTTAGTACCAGAGCGAGCTTGCGATACGCAGTACGGATATCAGAGAAGGAGGCATCCTTACGAATCCCGAGGATGGTGTAGTAGCAAGATCCGCCGTCGGATCCTCCTCCCCGATCCATAGAAAACCGGAATCAGAACAAAGAGAAGCCGCAGAACCTCGGGAGACGACCACCAGAGAGAGCAGTAAAACGAGTTTCAGACCAGCATAGCACGGCGAGCTTCAAAAGCAGAGAAGAGGAGGAAGAAGAAGTAGTAGAGCGAGGGCCAGAGTTGCGATGGTTTTTCAAACGATTGGCGTGTGGACGGTAGGGGAGAGATGAAAATATCTGGAGATGAAAAAAAAAGTTATGTACAAGGAAAGTTCGAGAGATTTCTCTTTGCTGGTTAATCGAAAACTTTATGCTAGATATTTTTATCCCTCGAAAGATGCCACTCATATTTACAATATTTACGACAGATGCCACTCGCTTGAGAAATGGGACCACGAGAAGCCCGAAATTACTCTCATACCCTCCCTTGGAATTTGTTGTTTAAAAAATACTTCTATCATTTAAAAGTAGATTTATAAATACTTGGAAATTCTATTAACAACAGATAAATAATGCTTTGAGAAAATTCTGATTGACAATTTAGATAAGTTGGCACGTTAATTGTCAGATATTTTTAAAGGGTTTACGAAAAATCAAACACAGTATTTAAACTTTTGAAAGGATAAAGATATTTCTTAAACGAATGACAAAGTTCAAGAATATTCTTTCTATAATTCAAGTAACAAAAGGCTTCATTTGAGAAACTACTTGTATAATTAGTTAAAGTTACCTTTCACCTTTTGTTCTTTAGATATTTGTCACATAGGACTCATCCGGACAATACTCGATAACACGAGTACTTCGTAACGTGGCAGCTTTTTCCATTATGAAGTTCTCCAAATGGATGGAGAACGCCGCCCCAAGCCGTGAGCCAACGAGGCTTCCTGAGGTAGGAACCTCTGCATCTTTGACAAGTTTAATTGCAAAGAAAAACATTTTCCTTTCCACTTGATAATAATACAACAACTTGAATTTGCAGAGTTGAAAAAAAGCTAAAAAGAGGACAGCTGACTCTTTACAAAGACTCTTTTGCTGCACATTGGCCCCAAGGGAAAGAAAAATAGTGCAGGAAAACACAGAAGAAAACTATCTACAAAAACTTAAGCAGATTAAGGACCTGCAAATTTAGCAGTAACTTTTCTCCTTGGGTGTGCAGTGACTTTGACACTAAGACCACAGAAAGTTGTCTAAAATTTGATAGAACCGGAACATGGCGAGTGACTTTGACACTAAGACCACAGAAAGTTGTCTAAAGTTTGATAGAACTGGAACACGGCGAGACGATATCTGAAGCTGAATGGCTTTGCCATTCTAGTTTGAAGATCCAACTGATATCGCTTAAGCGTTGAAACTTAATCCGCCCCATTTAAGATATTGGCACCGTGATCCAGATAAGAAGGAAATATGCCACGCCCCCCAGCCTCCGTGGTGTAACTCGAAGAAGGACGATCATTTCCATGCTCAAGTGTTGCTTGAGGAGGGAAGTAAAACGGAGTTTGTGGCAGAAAATGAAAGTCTTCGACATGGTAACCGGGTTGCAGTGTCGGATGAAATACTCGGTCCAAATCGTTCTGGATTTGGAAAATTGAGGGAGTTCCATCTCCTTCGCTGTTGTCATTGTTTGTTGTAGGAGCGTGAATTAGCAGGTCATCTGCTCAGAAAATAGAATTAGTTTGTTTCAGAGAATTAGAAATGGCGGAAGAAGACATTGAAGATAGATACTTGAACTCAAACTATCATTTACATTCCGAGATTCGAATCGCATTTTCATCATATACAATCATGTGCCACACGCAAGAAAAGAAAGGAAGACAACTTGTGGAATCTTAACATGACGAGTTTTTCATGCTAAGACCCGAGAGATCAAAGCGATCAAACTGATGGTTCAAACACAGACTAAAACAGTTATAAAGAAGTATATAAATCTCTTAGACTAAAGGCGTTATGCCCCTTTTGCTATAATTTATTTCCTGAAAATCAACTGCCTCAGAAAAGTGAATTTGAAGGCATCTACGCAGGAAAAAAAGAGCTAATTTAGCATTGAAGGCAGTGAATTTTTTGAAGAAACGTGTAATCTGGTATACTACAGTATTTATTAAGGGTACAAGAATCGTCAAATCGGCCCCTGAAAGAACAAAAACCAATTTTCTATATATGTGAGTTTCTGGGTCAGTTTACGTGCACCTCGACTAAACTTATGGGACAACCAATTTATCCTACTACATTTAGGAAACTAATATTAAATGTTAGATAGGTAGATATCATAATTTGAATTAGGTAGGTAGACATCATGATTTGAATTCATTCCCTCTAAATCCATCAAACCCATAATGGTTAAAACAAAATACAAAACGATTATAATACCTTGTGGATGTACGATGCAAGGTTCCAATGGTTGCAATCCTAGATTTGGAGGAATAAAAGGACCAGCTTGCTGATAGGTCAAAGCCAGTCTGTTAGCTGGTTGCTCATCAAATCTGTTCAGGTATGCTGGCTGATTCAGATCTTCAACTAATGCCTGCCAATGAAAATGATTGCTACTAAGTTTCAGACCAGAAATTTATATAAGAGTGAAGAATTATTTTAAGATGATAAAGATCATGATTCCTTTTTCTTTTCCTCTTTTGTTTTCTTTTTTCCTTCGATACAAAAATTATAGTCACTGAACACAGAAACACGGCAGACTTTAAAGATGGAGTTGAATAGAAGAGAATACCCCATCACACCCATTTGGGTATTTAGAAACCGTGCAATCATCCATAATGCAGGTTTTAGCATGGTTCAAAACTTTTCGCCACATCTTATCCGACAGGCCAAGTATCTGCAGTGTCATATACACAAAACCAAGGGTGAGTTACAAGATTATTCTTCCTAGAGTCAGTCAAATAGATAAACGGGAAAACATAAACGATGCAGTTAACACAACAAGAGATTATCTTACATGGCGTAACTTGGGTTGATTCATTTCATTCAACATGAGAAAATCCCCGACAGTTAATATGTTGTTTGAAGCCAGCTGCTCATGGTATTTACCATCTTTTCGTATTTTCTCCAAACGCCATACTTCATCATGCGAGCTTGGAGGATAGTGCTTCGTATACCCTGAAAACTAACCAGTCAGTTGCAAGCTTTAAGCTGTAAAACAAGTATATGAGAATCTGGCGTCCAGAAAATGAAAATCAACAAGTCACAAGAATGCAAAGTTCACGATTTTCCTACTTGAGGCAAATAGATAAACCACTAATTGGACCACAAAGCCATTTAGTTATCCAAAGTTCTAAGTGCCAAGAAATTGCGACTTACCCTCTCCACGGCTGTCTCTTACAGAAAAAGGGCGGCTTCTGGCCGGCTTAACTCTCTGTTTTCCAGAACTTTTTGGTGAAATTTTGGCTCCCAGTATGAACATCTTATTCGCCATCCAGCTGGAATTATCTGTGATGCTTAGATCACTGATTAATCCAACCCCATTTTTCAAGACGATGCTCTGGGGTCCAGCTAATAGACGTCTTTTACCTTCTCTTTCACATAAAATTTTAGAATTGAACTCCTCTTCAGTCCAATCCTCTCGATCACTAGCAAATAGTCCACTGAGGACAACAAAATCAACTTTTGCTGATGATAGTGGACCTGATTCCACCAAAGTCTTGGAATTGGCGTCGTATAGTTTAATTTTCAATGGTTTGCCATCCTCATCTTTCAGCGGATTATTTGTGAATATTCGCTTTGGCAGTTTGCTGTCAAACAGCAGCTGCAGATTACATCCATCTGATGTTGTTTCAGCTACAAGAACTGAGCTGCTGGAGAACCAAACGGAAGCTAAAATTAGATGGAGCACAAGGAAAGAGGATCAGTTATCACACGTTAGAAAATACATGTAAGCCAACGAATTTTACTAATGAATTAATAAACCATACGACTGGACTCAAAAATCAAACCAGTTATCCTAAAATTGACCGCAGAAAAAGCTTACAGGAGAAAAGGATTAACTAGCCGAGAGGAAATTCAAAAACGTTCTACAGAAAAGGAAAAAAAAAATGTAAAAATAGAGCAATGACAGGGTAAAGTACGTACCTTGAAGATGATGGGAAGTTTTTGGAAATGGCACATTCTGCCTCCTCTCTTACCTAATCCACAAACATAAAGTAAAGAAAACAAATAATGTCAGATGTTTGATTGAAATCAAAGGTCTGCTCACTATCTATAATCACAGCTTGTCCAAACATTTGAACTATGCAGTGTGTTAGCCACATCTCTATATATTTACTTTTACTATTTAAATACAATTTTAAAACTTAAACTAACAAGTGGTGGGAGACAAAGAGGCCCACAACTAGGTGTAAATTCCTACATGATCTCAAGTATTTATGGAAGTTTTTCTTTTGGAACTCTTTAAAAACTCCATCGGACTCTCCCTGAAAGGAGAAAAAAAACGTAGAAACTAGATTAAGTACACAAGGGACTCTAGTCAAACACAGAGCTTCTGTTTTCCATCAAGCCACCAGATTTTGAGCATTAGATAGAAACGTGTATGAGATCTACGTCTACCACTCTAATTTCCTCTCAGGCTCTCAGCTAAAATTGACTACAATTTTTTCTTTTTTTTTTTTAATAAGAAACAACACTTCCATTGAGAATAATGAAAAAGATCTAAGACCATACAAAACATCCAGATAACTATCATTTGGTTCAGTTGTAACCAACGATAAGAAATTTGTCTTACCACTTTCCGAATCAAAGGTTCCAGAATAGAAAACAAGCTATCCTCTCCAACAGCCCTGCAAAAACACAAATGAAGACCAAATGTGAGAAAACAAATTTTCAATGTACAAAGCACCAATGTTCTTGAACTAACTATATACTCACGTCCGGAATATATTGATTCGTTTTGGCTCTTGACTCGGAGTTCCAAAACCATCACCATGTTGGACGTGAAAGGGCCTCTTCTGTACCATCAAATACCAAGAAATTAACCCAAAACAACCAAAATCTCTAACGAATTACTCAAACAAGAAATATTTATAAAGAAACGGAAATTGACAATGGCACTCAGAAGGGAGGAGGAAGCTTCCATTAAACTACAGAAGAAACGCGTAAATAGTTGAAGTCAATTTTATATTGTAAACTAAAATTTAAAATCATCAAAAACCATTTTCTAAAGGGAGCTTGACATTGCCAAGATTTTGTCATGGAAAGTTGGTAGAAATTCTCTGGGCTTTAGATAACTAAATAAACTGCCCTGTCCTTTGTCTAATAGCGGAGACAAAACAATAAAATATCGACCAATACCAAATGTTTACGTGTTCCTAGGTGACCGTGACTGGGGAGTGGGTCTGGAAGAGAAGTTGAAGAGAAATCAAGGAGCATGGCTAAATGATCAAGAAGAAGCAGAGAAGTTACAGAAGAAATTTTCCATGAAACTCCATTTAAGCTCTTAACTTCAAGAGGCTGAAATTGCCGTGGAAGTTCTGGGAAAATTCACAGTAAATCGAAGTAGCTGCACTTAGAACATTAATGGAGCAACCATTTTCCTTGAGAACGACCAACCCACGTGAAATGGGCCAACGGTGGCGACAGTGAAAACAAAAGGAATTTTGAAAGTGAGACAAAAAGTTAGATGTTCTGCGAGTTGGAAGGAGCTTCAAACGTGGAGAGGACAGACAAAACTGATCTCATTGGCCCCACTGCGAAAAGGGGGAAAATAAAAACATAACGAAAACTAAAAAATTAGGGTTTATTTCAGGAAATGGAGAGGAAATGATTGATTGAAGAGTTGTTACATGAACTTTCCGCAGTGTGTGGACTGACCGCCGGGTCGGTATCGGTAGTCAATGCGGCGATTGTACTGGGGTCTTTTGAAATTTTCGAACTCTGTAACTTCCTCGCGAAATCTGACCCCATTGTTTTCCATGTTCACAGTTTCCTGGAAGATGCAGAGATCTCTCTCGGGTCTCTGTCTCCATTATCGGCTCTGTCCCCCTCTCGCGGCGGCTCTCTCTCCCAGTCCCGGCTTTTGATTCAGTTCTATATCCCACGCGGAGCCAATGATGGAGGAAGCCGAATCAGGCCAATGTAATTAAATTTTGCTGGAAACCAAATTAATGAATAAATTACGCTGCTTGCAAATAAATATAGTAAAAAATTAATAATTGGGATTCATAAATACAGCAAAAATTACCGGCATACAAAATAGAAAGTCAGTTGTACCCGATTATTTTAAAAAGATGATAAAAACTCTTATGATATTAATATCAAGTATATCGTTTATATCTTTCGCGTGTTTAATATACTTCAATGTTAGGCAAAAGGCCAAAAAAAAATTTGTTAGGTATATTGACCTCTCGATTAGAGATGTATGTCAATTACTACTGAACTATACTCGTTTTGACTACTCAATGATATGCTTGATATGTCAATAAACAAAACCCCACGTCAACTTAAATCAAGAATTTAAACTCAAACAAGATTTATACAAAAATTTGAATATAATTATTTGGTAAGTTTAAGAATGGGACAAGACCGTATTACATGTTATGATTTCTTTAGTAACATCTTAACCTACAAACCATTTACTTGAATATAAGGTTAAATTACTGCTTTGGTTTTTTCAACTTTCATTCGTTTTGGTCGCCATATTTTCAAAATGTTCATTTTTGTCTAAACTTTGATTTATTTTAGCCATCATATTGTCAAGATGTTTGTTTTAATCCACGTACCTTTCCTAACAGTGATAATTGTAATCTTTATTTGCAAAGTGTTAATACATACTATCGACACAACATATACAGGTTACTATAAATTAATGATTACATTTTAACAAACACATTGAGTGTAGCCAACTTGAACCTACTTAAATTAAGACAGCTATCTCCAACCAATAAGATATGAGTTAAATTCTTCACATATACTTGCTATAATAAGAAAAAACCTGCATGTAATTTTATTATGTGTAGAAGCACAGGTGTCTCTCAAACTAGATCGAGCTGACTTTAGAAGGGAGAATTTGATGTTTAATAATAGAATCATATTTATTGTTCCCATTTTGAATAAAATTAAGTTATCCTTTTCAAAACAAAATAAACATAATAAATAATTGACATGTGGATCGTTCGAGAGAACACGCAAGTTTGGGCTTGAGGTATTGCCAAACCACGCAAGTCTCTAAACTTTAAATATCGTGTCAAATCAATAAATCTATAAAGGTAAAGAAAATACCTAAAAGTTAAAACATTGAAAACATAGGGACTGGAAAAAATTGAAAGTTAAAGCTCATTTTTTATAACAATTTGGGTTTTATTTTTTGTTTTATATTTTTAAAGATTATGTTTGCTTGTTGACATTTTATTTAGAATATACATTTACCTACATTTAAAATACTATTTGAAGTATTAGCCGAATTTAAAAAATAAAAATAAGTTTATGAAAAGTACTTTCAGTCTTTTAGTTATTTATTTTTAATTTAGTTTAAATTATTCAACCAAATAAAAAAAAAAACTAAAATGAGAGGGGATTCGAACTAGATGTATGCCAATTACTAAGCTTTGGCAAGATCTGACCGTTTATTTTATTTTATTTTTTTAACCAAAATCTTACAGTTTTTTAAAGTTTTAGGAGCCTGTTAAATAACCATAACAAAGAAATATATATAAAACGAAATTCGCGCGATCAAGGTCGAATAGCTTCAAAAGGCAATTTTGCGCGGGAGAAACCAAACTCCACAGAAATGGGCGGCCACGACTTGGAACTGGAGAGAGTTCGATTGCTAAGCTTGGCCGCCGAATTCGGTTTCGACGAGGAATCGGCGAAGGCATGCTTGGACCGCATAATCAATCTATACGGTACCATTTCCGAACCCTAAACTCCACTTCATTTTCATCTGTATACTTGTCTCGTGACTGGAATGAGGGTGATTGAACATCGTTTAACCTATTTTGCGTTGATTCTGTAATGTATACAGTAAGAATCTGGTTTTGGCAATGTTAATAAATCTAGCTTCCCAGTTATGGGTGGAGGAAATGAAGAACTGTAATTTTTCGTTTTCGTTCGTTTTTAATTAATTTATATTTACTGAATTCATCTGTGCAACGTAGTGGGTAAAACGTCCATGTCGTGGGAATTTGTGGATGGTTCAAACGAGAATATGGTTTTATACCGGCATAATATTCAGTGTAAATCATTAATCCTTGTTCTGTTGCCGTATCAAGAACACCATTATTATAAATGTATTATTTCGAAGTAGTTTTAAAAATTATGTTACACGATCCATATGATGCGCGTTGAAGATTATCTGACTGATTGACGCATGGGATTATCTTATTAGAGTAAGATTAACTAGCAACGAGTAAAACTAGCACCGTCAATTATCTGTTTATGATGCGCTTCTCTGTTCAGGTGACGATGGGCAGGAATTTGTGTCTGTTGAGCATTGTGGAGATGATTTTTTGGTGGCTCTTGCGGAGTCTGCTCAAGATAATGAGGAGTGGGATGATTTACAGGCAATGGAGTCCGAAGCTTGTGGTGCTTTAGATATTATCTTCGATGAAAATATCCAGAAAAAAGATGGAGTTCACAACTTCCATGACAGAAAAGGCACAATCAATATCATAGAAGATACATCCGAAACCGAGGGAAAACCAAATTTGGTTAACATTGATTCATCCAGTGAAAGTGATGATGTAGACTTCATAGCTTCAAAGAAGAGAAATCTTGATTCTGCCATTTCTTATTGTTCTGATCAGGCTATTTCTATCCTCACTTCAAGCAAATATTCTTCAAGATCAAGGGTAAGCCTTTTTGGCAACCACAGTGTTACTACAAGTGCCTTGAAATAGTACACTGAATTAGAAATTTAAATGCATAACCTAATGACAAGATGGTTCAATTTTATTTTAAATCTAGCCTATCTAGGCAAGTAATCCATGTTATCGTCGAGGGCATATTGACTTGTTTGTCCTTTACGAGAGTGAAACTTTTTAGCTTTTTTTTAAGTACTGAGTTAATAAGTTATGTTGAAGGATTGCAAAAGCAGCACTGGTCGGGGTTCAGTTTCTTCAGGTTCAGTGGAAAGACAGTCCTCTGGGACATCAAAGGATGGGCACAAGACTCTTAGTTACGAAGAGTTACAGACTTTGGATGATTTTGAATTGGCAAATGTTGTTATTTTTGGAAACAAAAGATTTCGACCTCTGCAACACGAGGCTTGTAAAGCAGCTGTGTCAAGACAGGATTGTTTCGTACTTATGCCAACTGGAGGTGGCAAAAGCTTATGTTACCAGGTCATATTCTCTTCCATTCCTACTCTTATTAAAAAAAATTATCTTCCTTTCCTACACGCTTTTAAAGACTAAGATGGAGATAGAAAGATAACCAAATGTATGATTTATATTTCAGCTTGGCATCTATTACCAGTCGTACTGATACTTCTTTTGCCTTTATTTACTTTTTCAATATTTAGGGTGTGTTTGGGAGTGATGGTAAAACGAGTGATATTAAAAAAAAGAGATTAAAGTATAATTGATTGTTCAAAATCATCATCTAAGTGATACCTTTAAAATCAATTTAAAGTGATTTTAAAGTTTCCTAAAATCAATTTTTAATTTTGCCAAACATGATCAATAGAAAGGCAAGCGAGTTTACAATGGCAAAAGTGATTTTGGCTATGTCAAAATCACTCCAAACACACCCTTAATGGGAGTGCTGCTCAAGTCTAAGTTTTGGGGATTTCTTTGTTCCTGATGGCTTTTATCTTTCTTACTTCTTGAAAATTCTTTCATCGAGGAAGGTTTTTTCACAGATTTATTTGGAACAAGAAGCAAAAAGGTTTCCGAGACATGTAACATATATACAATGTTACAAAGTATGGCTGTTATGGTCCCAAAAAATTCTTTGACTGCTTTTTGTATCCCTGGATTATCCAAGGCATCAATACCTGTCATATGGAATGTCGTAGGTTCAATGTCATCCATCCCACATGGCTTTTTAGCTTTGTAAATATTTTCTTTTAGATGTTTTGTATGTTACGAGTTTTTAAAACTGAAGCTGAAGAGGAACTTGTTTACTTTTGTATTGGTCAGTATGCATGTCTTTTAATATTTCTTTTGTAATTTTCTACACCACTCTGAATGTATGTAACTGCCTATTCTCCACAGCTTCCTGCAACAATTCAACCAGGTGTTACTGTTGTCGTTTCTCCTCTCCTTTCCCTAATTCAGGATCAAATAATCACATTGAACCTCAAGTTTGGAATACCATCAACGTTTCTAAATTCTCAACAAACCACTTCTCAAGCAGCTGCTGTCCTTCAAGAATTGAGGCAAGGTTTATTTCTTTCTCTGGTCATGATATTTGGTGATGTTTTAAGCTTGTTCTATGTTCATATTTCTACAATGTACATGATATGATACATACAAAAAGCTGTTCCTTGTCTTAGGGAGAATGATATCTATGTTTCTCTACTGGGATATTTATTTTAATGCTCTCGGAGTTCTCCGAGCTCAAATCTCTTAGAGAAAACATGACATACGTGCTTTAAGCAATTATACATTGAAATTTTCAGAACTTATTTTATACTTCTCGAGTACATTTTCAAATCGTGTTTTCTTTCTTGCTTGTAGGAAAGATAAACCTTCATGCAAGCTCTTGTATGTGACTCCTGAGAGAATAGCAAATCAGTCATTTTTGGAGATTCTAAGATTCCTGTATCTGAAGGTGACCTTTCTAAGGCTTGTAAATTTATGCGATGAAGTTTTTATTTTTAATGTGAAACTTCCATATATTATAGATAACAATAAGTTTAAAATATGATGACAGAGACAACTTGCGGGTTTTGTTGTCGATGAAGCACACTGTGTAAGGTATGGAATTTTATTTGTTTAATTCGTGAACTTTTTGATAAAGTATATAGCTTATGGGTCTTGGATGTAGATGGTACACAAATTCAAAGGGTGGGCACTCCATTCATTTTTCAAGAAGCATCAGTATTGCAAAGAATTTCCGCTCAATGACTGAACCAACAAATACATGAGCATCAATCTAATTTGTCGTTTGTTATGCCA